TCGCTCCTGTCTTCCCAAATTTCCAGAAAACCAGATATCCTCCCACTCCAATCAGAAGAAATCCAGTGATCATCAGCCCGAACATCCACAAATCTTCCACGTTCTCGATGGACAACTGAGAAAGGCACATGATTCGCCAGACCTCCCAAGAATCGAGTGCATATCCCACTGCGAATGTCCCCTCGGGACAGGTGGGAGCCCCCTTCTCCGTTCTCATCGTAGAAAAATTTTTATCAATCGCGTTGAATGACCAGTTAATTAAGTCCATATTTCCAAAAAAAGAGTAGTGGTTTCAGGAGAAATATAGAGAAGTGCTCTGTAGGCTGACAGGACAAGAGCCTTGGGGAAGCAGATAAGGGAGCTGAGAAAAAAAAAAGCGTCTGTACTCTCTGAAGGCTAGAGAAACAGAAATAATGTGGGTCTTAGTAGCAGAATTTTAACAGAAATGCCAACTCTGTCTGTTTCTTGGGTTGTATTGTGAGCCCCGGGGTATGAATCCAGAATTCAGCCTCCATCCTCGTGGCTGCCTCTCTACTGCTGCCTTCAGGCTCACTGGATATGTGAGTTGGCGTGATGGCATGTGACTCACGGTCATATATGCATGACAATGCTGGCATTCTGTCATGGTTATGAGCAAATGTAGATATTAAGCCCTGTGTTTGTGCCAGGACGAGATGTGGCGCTGCGGATGTTTACTGCCGTTACTCTGTTTGCGTGCTCCCGTGACACTGATAGTTTGTGAAAGGTAAACCTCAACCACAGCCCCTATGAGAGTGTCTCATGTCAGCCTGGATAATTGACTGCAGTGCATCATGGGAACCCCACCACCACAGGGTTTTAGGGTATATTTATTTTAAACCACTAGCTCTTTCACATAAGGGAAATTCAGGACCTTTCACTGAGGTTATTAAACTCTGCTGGAGTGGAAGAGTTCTAAAAAGTTCCCCGATTTACCCCCGACATGTTGAACAACTTCACAGCACTGGGCTGTTAGTTTAAGCACCAGGTTTAATGTGTTACACAGGCACGGCGAAGCGTCACACTCTGGAAAATTACAAAGAAACGAGGGTGCCGGTGATATTTCCCCCCCTGCTGTTATATAAAACTTAGACTGCCAATAGAAATGTTTATCACTGAGGTGAAAAGGAGGTTCTGGAAGGAGATGCTCCCTACATTTCTGGTGCCATAATGCACCATAGCATCCCCTTTGCCATGCCCAAAATAGTTGCATCGTCCTCAAAGGGAAGGGCTAAAGCGAGCACGGGCACTCCTGGGTTGTTTCCAAGGTTATGCAAAAATCAAACTTCTCCCGAATAAGCCTACACAGCAAAATAACACACACAGACTAATTTAGATGCTCTCTTTATTTATTTTTTTTAGGTAAATGAATAATGTTCGGTGACGCCATGTTAATCTACTGTGGGATTTGACTTGGAACGACCTTCCGGGGTGCCGTACCTAACATCTTAATTACCTTTTCAAAAAGGGAATACCTCTGAGATTTAGCAGCCCTTCTGCACGGCAGATATGCTGCTCAGTCAAGAGGAGGTGATATGAGGTTACACTTCACTGGGCTGAGTCATATTGACCTATCTACCCTTCAAACACACACACACAGCCTCACAAACATTTCTGTGACGCTTTACCCTTGATTTTTCACACCTCTACCACCAAATGGCCTTTTTCATGTCTGTGTTTTCTAAACATGTGAAACTGAAGGTAAAGATTTCCAAGCTTTTGAAAATTCATATTTGTTACAGGATGCTCTTCGTTTTTCCTCTCCCGCTCACCTACTATACTCTCCATCATTGCTCTTCTCTGTCACCCCTCCCTTGATTGAAAGTGATAAAAGTCACTGGTAAGGGCAGTGAGAGATAATACACCACCAGATAGTGACAGATAAGCAGCAAAGATCTGGCACTTGTTCAGGCTCATCTGATGCATGTTTAGACTGGTGACAAAAGGTGAGAGCTAACTCGTCAATCTGAATGGAAATGATGCTAATCTCTCCAACGATTTGAAGACATTTTGCACAATTTCCATTTTCTTGAAGCTTCATGTGTCTGAAAGCGAGCACAAATGACACAGTGTCTGTTAGAAAAGAGATGTCAGTTGGAGTTGCATGGATATTTAATTATCTTTGGCTGATCTTATATTCTCTATAGTATCCCAAGCCAGGTGGTTAAGCCAGACAAGTCCATTAAAGATGGCAGAATGAGCTCTTTGAGAAGGAGAGGTCCTGCAATGAGGAAGGGTTTAGATTTCAGCTGATGAGGGAAGTCATGATCCAGCAGTTTGTCATGTAAAAGTTTACTTTGGGATATTTGTGGTTTAACCAGAAGTTTTAGCTGGAATTAAGCTGTCTTGTGCTTTTTACCTCGATGCAGTTGGGTTTGCTTGGCATAGATCCAGGGCTAATTTACAGCTCAGCGCCCCCCTTGTCCTTCTCACTCTTGCTGGTGCGCTTTCTCTTGTCTCTTTCTGTGAGATTGGCAGGTCTTTAGGGGTTTAAGGCGCTTAGCTTTCCATGTTCCTTCCTCCTGTCTCCTGCCCTCAGTCTGACTGGCAGTAATTATATCAGAGCTGGGCCTGGTTGATCCGAACGACCCCGCAGACAAGACAACAAGAAAGAGACAGAGATGCTGAAAAAGAGTGTGAAAAGGGAAAAAAAGAGAGCGAACAAGGAGGATACTGACACAAAAGTGGCAACAAACAGGAACGAGAAAAGCAGGACTGCAGCGAGAGAGAGAGAAAGCAATAAACTACAGGAGAGAGGCAGAAAAGGTTACACATCACAGATTCTTGACATGTCGTTCCGTGTTTTCTACCTCTTGTTCTTTCCTCCATCATGGCTGTGTGAACTTTGTATTTATCAATGTTCGAAGAGCCTTCCAGGCTGAGAAAAAGTGTTTCACTCTTTTTGGCTGCAGCCAGGTATTTTCCACCAACCTCAGCTGACATACAACACATTTCAGTGGTTTCTGGTGCGATCATAAAGCAGGAACAGAAGGGTTTCCAGCCGATAGTCGAACAAATATCAAATTATTGTTTCTTTTTATGAATGAGCTGCTTGTCTTTTATTAAAACTTTTTTCACCTTAGTTGTCTTTACAACTTTTTATGATGATGCTGTCAAATGATGGACACAGCAGCACAATCTTTGCATTCAGCTTTGGTCCTGAGTTATAATTAGACTGCAGTTTTTCAGTGAAAAAAATTAGGAAGCTATTGAGCGGAACTAAATGAGGCTTTCTTCCCCCTCAAAGCACGCTGTGAAATTCTTCTCTCATAAAGAGATTTTTTATATCTCTAAAAATTGAAGGCAACATTTATCAGGCCTTGTTCTACTTTGAGTCTTTAATCAGCAAATCTGTCTTTCCCTCAAATAGTTCGTTCACACAAACAGACCGGATTTTAAAGGAAGTGTTTAATTAACAGGAGAACCCTGCTTCAACCCTGCAGCTACTGACAGATCAGAATTAGGAGGATATTTCTTAGATTATATTTTATAAGTCAGATATGGTATATTTAGAAATTCGCAATAGAGCACACATAGTTTTTATCTTTATCTGTTGCAATTCAAAAACATGAACATCTGAATAACTTTTGGGGTTAATTCCATTCAAAGGGTTGACAAAATAATTACGGTAATCTGTGCAAACGCAAACATTTTATTGATTTAGTGTCATAGACTGTGTCTTAAAATTTCATGTGATAGTAGCTGAGAGTCATCCACAACACAAGAGTGCTAACAGATCACATGTACGTACAAAGTACAACTATCAGCCCTCTTATCCACAGTCACCTTGTGGCCCTCTCTGCAGCTTCACATAGACCGGATGGCCCTCTAGCCACTCCATTTAGGTCCAGTTGATTGAGGACTTTACAGAGTTAGCATTCTGCAAAACCCCTACAGCCTACCTCCGTTTGTTCACAGTATGTCTTCCAACCCCCTGTCCGTAACTTCTCTATAGTGATTTGGAACATTTTCTTTCATTTGCCTCTCCCACATGCTCTTCCCAAGACACAGTGACTTCAAGTAATATTAGCTGTTTTGTCACCTCAGAAACAATGATTATGTCTGGACGAAGTGATGTTTCAGTGATGTGCTTGGGGAACTTTAACTGCTTCCTTAGATTGGCTTGCAGCGATCAATCCACTGCAGTATGGAGACCTGGCTTTGATGTTTGCTGTCGACAGAGCTCCTCTCCAGCTTTGATAAAGGCAGTTCCAGTCTAAAGTCCCATCAGTTGTCACACACACTGATGTGTGTGTGAAATTTGTTCTCCACATTTGACCCATCCCTTGGCGGAGTGGTGAGCGGCAGACACAGCCGTGCTCGGGAACCATTTGGTGGTTTAACCCCCCAATCCAACCCTAATGCTGAGTGTCAAGCAGGGAGGCATTGGGTCCCATTTTTTCAAAGTCTTTGGTATGACCCAACCAGGAATCGAACTCTGATCTCCCAGTCTCAGGGTGGACACTCTACCACTAGGCCACTGAGCTTGTTGTAGTCTGGACTTTGGGCCAAGATGGTGTAGTCCTATAAAAGGGTCAATAACTACTAGACCACCCTTGGAATTTAATGCACTTCCAGAGATGACAAACCACAGGTGAGCTGCCCATTCAGCTTGATGTGAACAGAACTGCTCCTAGACCTTGAGTTGACAGCTTGCCTGCTTTGATGAGTTGTCGTCAACTCTTGTCTTTTCATCAGACTTTTGCTTGGAACAAACCAGATTGGGCATACAGGCCGTGAAAAAAATGAAAACATATTTTGTAGCATTTAGAAATCATTAATATGGACCATGCGTGACTGAAGGTCACAAGTGAGTTTAGCCGAATCACCAGTGTATCAACCAGTCATCAACGCAGCATCTTAAGCTCTTAGAGTAAATAATGTTTTTTTATTTTATTTTTTTTGTGTATGTTTCTTTTTTCTCTGCCTTGTTTATGTTTTGATTTTATTTTTCTCATTCTTCTTTTGTTGTGTCTTCACAGCGGCGTCCAGCTTCAGTTTTTGCCGTGCCTCTCTGGAGCACACGGTGTCTGCTGAGGAGCTGAGCTACCAGCTGCCGCGTCGCGCCGGAGGCAGCAACCTGACCTGGCACGACGGCCGCGGACAGAGGACTGCGCACACACACACTGTCAAATTACTGCAGCAGCCTGGCACAGAGGGTATCCAGGTGGGAATTTCTCTGAACAAACAGAGCAGAAGCTGCTTTGCAAAGGAGTTTTTAATGCACAGGAGTGACTTTCACATGAGGATGGAATCAAACAAGGGCCAAACAAAACTACCCTCTAATTGATTTTTGCAAAATACATAAAGTGAATAAATAAAGTGGCTTGGAGCTAAATAGGCCAAGTCTGCATATGGATTTCATCAGAAGATATATTTTACCAGTAGAAGTAATTACAGGCTGTTTACTGGACCATTACAGATACTTTTTGTAATTAAGGGTGTTAATGCATAATCAGTGGAGCTGCTCTTTGCTTGTTAATCTTCTACTTCTGTTCACTAGATTTGATTTATTATTTTCTCCTCTAACAGCTTTGAGAAAACACATCTTATTAAACATAACTTGATTGGGAGCTGTCTGTGTTCTGACCTTGCTAGCACTACATTGCAAGGAGTTGGTAAAAAGAGCACAAAAATATTTTCCACAAACACAATTGTGGGAATTAGGTGAAACAAAGCGCCGGTGCTGGCGGTTCATTACACCAGCCTACAATATAACAGCACAATGCATGCACACCGCTGCCGTTCCTACCCCTCCCACTTGGTGGCCGGACTGGGGTACTCGCAGGGTTCAGGGGCCACAAGGAGGGGGCCCACAGGCCAGGTCTGGACACCTATTGAGTAACGCTGCTTTAGATCATCACAAAGTAAGTCCCAAAGTACGTTTAGGTTCTTAAAAGAGTGGGTTACTCATTCAGTCACTACATTTCCAGTAGTCTCTAGTAAGAATGAATGCCTTGCAGACAGTACTCAGGGCACAAAAGCCCACAAACCCCTGCCTCAGCTGGGCCAAGTCCGTAACCTCACAGCTGAGCTTCAGACGGCAGGATTTGGAGTCTTATTTCTTGATATTTGGACATCTCGCCCAGATTTGATAACAGCAACACGACTCTACCACTGACTTGTAATATGGTTGTTTTATCTCCACAAACAACACAAGCCTGAAGGAGCTTCTGCCATGACATGGAGTTGCTAATGCAAATAGCCGATGCGTCTGCTACTAATTACCAGACATTAAAACAACAACAGCCTTCCCCGTCAAGAGTCAAAATCTGTGAGTCCATTAAGGCTAATTCACAGAGTGATGTAGATCTGAGAGGATTTTCAAGCCCATGCTTTTCACCGTCTATTTTCCATCAGAAGCTAATGCAGGAGATACAGGTATAGGAGACTTTTTTTTCATGTTCAGGATGCAGGAAAAACTTAGAGTGACTGATTATAATCAGAAAAATAAACTTTTAAAAATGTTTTTTTCAGTCAACCGCACCTTTAAGATAAAGCTTACAGAATGTAGGTTAAAATCTTAATGTTGCAGCAGCAGCAGCAGTGTGCTGCTTCAAAATGTCCTTTGCTGTGTTGGAGTTCATCTTGTTGGGGGCATGTATAAGGTCTTTTTCAAGTACTACATGTTTTCCTGTATAATTTAAAACAAAATCACTCAATTGTTGCAAACAGCTTTTGATATAATTTATTACACCCTAAGGGAAGTGAATGTTAGAATTTAGAAAGTGATAGAATGAAGATGTTTAGTTCTGACATAATCGGGATGAAACGTAATTTGCATTGCCGCGGGTCAAATGTCAGGACTGACGGGAAGTCTAATAGTTTCATCTTTTAAATATTCATGGCTGATCTTATTTTACTCTGTTCTGACAGAACCACCAGGGAGACGTTAGTTATGTAATTGTGAAGAAAGGTACAGGAACTTAATGGCTTCTGATGTAACATGCTGCATGGAACACGGGCAATCTGGTACATTTCTTAATAAATATGCCAGAGAATCTAATTCATTTTGCATATTAATGTTTCCCCACAGAGAACTGCAGTGACTTTAACAGAAATGAACTCAAACGCTAGATATAAAACCTATTTGAGTGCTGACAGGTGTGTTAGAGATGTTTAGTAGCTGATTGTCTTTAATATGATGTCAGCAGCCACCGCATCGTTTAATTCCAAACTCTACTTTGTGGGAAATGCAATCCCATCTGAAGAGACACCAGAGAAGTGAAAAAAAGGTGGAAAAGATGACTTTTATTGTCTTTTGTCTGTTCTGAAACTGAAACAATGCCCTGTTATTTTTCATGCTCCTGTAATGAAACGGAGCAGATCGCCTTGTGGAGGTCATTTGCTTTGTTTCCTAAATACTGGTAAGGAAAGTTTGCAACAAGACGATTGTAAGACGCACACACGGTTTGTTTAATAATTCATAAAAGAGAGTCCTCTCAGCTATAAAAGGTTAGATAAAAGATGAGTAAAATTCAGTTTCCATATGATTACACAAAGACTGGATAATTAAACCTCCTCCATACCATGAGAAGCAAAGCTTATCACTTCCTTGTGGCGGCGAGTTTCTTTATGCATTATTCAGCAAATGAAAGAGCAGTCCGGCTGTCTGTCATGTGTGTGCGTTCACAAAACACATCACTATCCATTCATACCTCTATAATTATAGATGCATGTGTGACTCTTGTTGTTGTGTCCGTCTCTTTCTAGACTCATGACTCAATTATACTCCATTAAACTCAATGTGCACACACCGGAGATGGTTAAGTTAAACACGGCCCAGTTTCTGTATATAAGGTAGGACCTGGGGAATCCGTCTTGTGTGCTTAACAAAGCTGATGCAACACATTGTGCACTTGTGTACAAACACGCTGTCAGTGGAGACGGGAGATAATGACTGCAGAGAGAGAGAGAGAGGACAGACACATTAGATGTTGTTCATTCATGCACAAACATGGTTGTTATTTTCAGACGTCCCCATTTAGGTGTTAGCAATGCAAATTGGCTGTAGGGACACATAAAATACCAAAGGACGCATCAAAATCTGTTAAATGAATCCACATGGGTTTAAAAACACTGGCAGTTCTGTGAGATGCATTTTTCATTCATTAGGAAAGAAAACATAAAGGGGCTAGTGCTCTTTGGGCTCTTTTAGTCCAGTGTTGGCCATAGAAGCTCTTGTGTTGGGCAGGCGCGCAGGTAGGGTGGGGGATGGGGGGGATCTGTCCCCCCCCCCAGATTCAGATCGACCCCGATCCATCCCCCCCAACTAAGGCCAGAAAGAAAACAAAATCGGAGGTTAAGCGCTTAAAGCTCCTTTTTCCAATTACATTGAATGCAGCATGTAAACAAACACAGACTCCAGAGGCGCCAAAGTGGTTGCTGCTAGGATGCAGGATGAAGCGAAAAAGGCAAGCAACGATTGCTGCGTTTTTAACAACAGTGTAAGAAGGCGGGACCGATCTGTTTGTTTATGCATGTTGGTTATAGATTCAGTACGTTGTTGTCAGTGATGGGACTTACTCGTTAAAAGCGCCAAAGCCTCATTGCTGACTTTAACAAGTCTCATCTACAAATATGATCCCTCATGAAGTTACTACTTTACACCAGAAGATAATGGAGATGTGGAACCTTCAGGCTGAGCAAAGTTTGGGAGTTTTTAGAGCTTGAAAAATGCCTCCCGCCAAGAGGCTCCCAGTCAGGGAGAGGAGGAGATGCGTGCAACATGAAGAGCGCAAATATTAGATAAAACGTATAATTGCCGGCAGGTCTGGTCTTTGTTGACTGATCACTTTGTCTGGTAATGACTGACTCTGATTATTAAGCAGAATATTGACTCTGATGAAGAAATTCACTCATCCAGCCGGGACGATTGACACTGCTGCAGTATCAGACAGCTGGTGCTGCACGAGAGGTGTGTGGAGTTTACAAGCTCCAAACGTTGGGTTTGATGTTTGTTTAACCTTCTTTGGGACGTGATGGATGTAGAAATGATGGTAAAAACACCGCAAACATGACAGACGTATTGACAATGTAAAAATAAAAAAGCCGTAAAAAAGGGCAGATGCCGATGCATTAAATATGGAAGTCAAGTGTGCCACATAATCATAAAAAAGGGTAAAATATACAATTTAAAAAGAGATTTATATATTTATATATAAATTAAAACTTTCCAAATATAATGAAAATTTCTAAATAACGTAAAAATACGAAGGAACATCTGTTTGCCAGGCTGAAAAGTTTGGGAACTACTGCTCTAAGTGATAAGTGAATATTGTTTTTTAAATATATTTTATGTGCAGTTTTTTTGGGCTTTTACATTTTCTGTAAAGATTGGTATGCTGAAAATAATTTAATGTTTTGCATAAAGCATGAGGTTTTGGTTAGTAATTGATTGGAAGAATAACAAATGACTGAATTAAATAGTGGAGCGCCTCTGTCAGTACGCCCCAGGGCAGCTGTGGCTACATCGTAGCTCATCCCCATCAGTGTGTGAATGTGTGTGTAAGTGGATGAATGATACACTGTGGTGTAAAGCCCTTTGGAGTCCTTACTCTGAGAGGCGCTATGCAAGTGCGGATCATTTATCATTTATAGTGTTGATCAGGCAGAGATTTGCTGCCAGCGTTCCACTGCACAATGGCTTCAAACACGTATATAAAAGTGTTAGTTTTTACGTAAACCATTGGATGAAATTATACAAACTGACTGAGCTCTTGTTAAGGTTCTTGCAATAGTTTATGTATGTGTACGTGCGTGTGTGTGTGTGTGTGTGTGTGTGTGTGTGTGTGTGTATGTGTTTGGGGGAGGGTACATTGGAACTCCCCCCCCCCCCCCCCCCCCCCCCAGTTTTAAAATCCTATTTGTGCCCCTGGTGTTGGGGGTTTGTGTTGAGAATGGAAAAAGCCAATAACAAACATAATTTGGAAAAAAAAATTTTGTATTTGCTAAGGCTGATTAGCAACCGTATTAAACTGGGTTGCCTCCAAAAGCTAATCAGTTGCAGATGTACTTCTGTTGATTACTACCTGAGAGTTTCATCAAAATCCATCCAGCAATTCATGGGAAATGTTACACCGAGACAAATGAATGTATTTTCTTTGCTATAGGTGGATCAAACAGAAACCTATTTGGTGACTGATTTTTTTTTTCTGCGTAATGAAC